AGATATAGAGAAGTGTCGCTCATGTTTTCCTGTCAGATGACCTGTGAAAAGCCAAAGAAATGTAGTTTATGGCTTGCCAAAAAGAACATATTGGAAGTTTTGGCAATAGAAAATCCTAATTAAAACTCATTCCACTGTACCTAACGAGTTGCAGCCAGGGGTGGGACATTTCATGTTGAAATTATAGCTTTCATGGAAACGCCGTCGTTTGGGGCGATGGGAAAGATCACTTCCTGAATCTTTCATGGACATATCCCTGGCAATACTTTCATCATGTGACATGTTGGGACTAGAGATATCAATATCAGACTCTGATGAAGGAGCATTGCCAGTTGGAGTGCGGGGTGGAGACTCATCACAGTCACCTGCATTTTTTGTGTCTGTTGAGAAGGGAGAAAATTAGGATAGTGTACAAGTTGCTAAGTTAGAAAATATACAAAGAATAAATACTTCCAGAATCATTTCTGTATGTCAGCATTACACAAAAAATGGAACACAATGCCAGAGATATAGTTTCCTTCCTAGCCAGTCACCAAGGATGCTCTGGAGTTGAACAAAAAAATCAGTCAGCCAAAGTTAAGCTGTAATTAAGGGCGACTTAAAATGGACACCGCCACACTGTTGTTCTTTATTTCCATCTCTCTCACACATATTATGGGATCAAGCAATGCCTAGATTGAATGTCGAACGCAGTCTTAGCAAAGATATTGCTTTTAACCTAGTATATTACGACTAAAACATTCTACAAAGGAAGCTGAGCAAATACTACTGTATGAATGAATTTTCCATCTCCTTATATGGTAAGTTATTAGGCGTGTCCTCCCCAACCATTCAAATATACAAACCTCTATCAGAAAAATCAACCACTTGCTCTGTTTCTGAGCCTGATGAACGAGTCTGTCGCAGTGGATATTTCTTTGGAGTTACAGGTGTGGGCTGCTGCTGACTGCGGGTTACTCTCCGCGTAGAATAAAGAGGTTCTTCTGCTCCAAATGATGGTGGACTGCGAACTGGGCTGGAATCTATGAAGGATTGGGAGGGATTTTAAGGGGGAAACCTAGCATCTCATTTTAGGAAACATCATTGCAGAGCCCACGTTAAGTGTTGCCATATTATTTGTGGTTCTTACTGTAGATTATTAACATGGCTATTCTTTTAGAAGCTATTAAAATGGGCAAGTTTTACACAGTTTTCATCTGATTATAACCTACTTCCTTGCATTATTGCATATCTAAATTAAGTTTAAAAGTCAATGTAAATCAGTTTATAATATAAATCTTCAGTTCATCATGGTATTGGAATAGAGCACGGGTGTCAAACTCAAGGCCCAGGGGCCAAATCTTGCCCGCAGGGTGCTTAGATCTGGCCCACTGGGCTACCCTGGAAAACAGCGAAGGACCAGCCCACAGTTCCTCTGTCAGCAAAAACGGAGCTTGGGAGGGCTGCGAGTGGCACTCCCAAGCTCCATTTTCGCTGACAGAGGGTTGCAGGAGGCCGTTGCAGCCGAAATGGAGCTCGGGGGCCCGTTTTCACTGGCAGAGTGCTCGGCCCACCACAGGAATCCCCAACACGAGTGATGGTGTGCTGGTCACACCCACCCTGGCCATGCTCCCCGCCCCCAAGGTCAAACACAACCCTGATGCGGCCCTCAATGAAATTGAGTTTGACATCCCTAGAATAGAGGATCCTGGAATACAGAATATATATGGAAACTGTTCTTTACTGTGCTATCTTATTTGCCTAAATGCTTGTTTATCAAAAGGTATATTTTCCAAAATGCATATAGGTTCATCACTTTGATAACCTGAATTTTCCTGTCCTGAAATGTTGACAACCAACAGTATGTTTAAATAACACCAAAATTTGTGCAAAGGTGTTACGATTCAGAGGATGTTCTGTTATCTGGATCCCTTTCAGTCGGGTTTCAGGCCTGGTTACGGCACAGAAACTGCTTTGGTCGCGCTGATCGATGATCTCTGGCGGGCCAGGGATAGAGGACATTCCTCTATCCTAGTGCTCCTTGACCTCTCAGCGGCCTTCGATACCATCGACCATGGTATCCTTCTGCGAGGGTTACAAGAGGTGAGAGTGGGAGGCACCGTCTTAAGGTGGTTCTCCTCCTACCTCTCGGACAGGTCGCAGTCGGTGTTGGTTGGAGGACAGAGGTCGACCCCTAGGTCCCTCAAATATGGGGTGCCGCAGGGTTCAGTCCTGTCCCCCCTCCTATTTAATATCTACATGAAGCTGCTGGGTGAGATCATATGCCGGCACGGGATCAAATATCATCAATATGCGGACGATACTCAATTGTATCTGTCCGCCCCGTGCCAACTCAGCGAAGCAGTAGAGTGATGTTCCAGTGCCTGGAGGCTGTCAGGGTCTGGATGGGAGCGAACAAGCTTGCACTCAATCCAGACAAGACCGAGTGGCTATTGATGTTGCCTCCCAAGGATAGTCCAGATATTCCACCTCTTAGCCTGGGGGGTGAAATTATACACCCCTCAGAGAGGGCCCGCAATTTGGGTGTTCTCCTGGACCCACAGCTGACGTTAGAACACCATCTGTCGGCTGTGACCAGGGGGGCTTTTGCCCAGGTTCGCCTGGTGCACCAGTTGCGGCCCTACCTGGACCGGGAGGCACTTCGAATGGTCACTCATGCCCTCGTCACCTCAAGACTGGATTACTGTAACGCACTCTACATGGGGCTGCCCCTAAAGAGTGTTCGAAGACTACAGTTGGTCCAGAATGCGGCCGCACGAACGATATGGGGTGTATCTAGATACACCCATGTTACACCCATCCTCCGCGAGCTGCACTGGCTCCCCATTGGTCTCCGGACGCGCTTCAAGGTGCTAGTTGTTACTTTTAAAGCCCTACATGGTTTAGGACCTGGCTACCTGAGAGACCGCCTCCTGCCACTTACCTCCAAACGACCAACAAGATCGCACAGGTTGGGCCTCCTCCGGGTGCCGTCAACCGGACAATGCCGGCTGGCGGCCCCCCGGGGGAGGGCCTTCTCTGTTGCTGCACCGGCCCTGTGGAACGATCTACCCGTAGAGATCCGGACCCTTACCACTCTCCCAGCCTTCCGTAAAGCCGTCAAGACCTGGCTGTTCCGGCAGGCCTGGGGCTGTTGATTGATATCCAGCCCCGCTTAGATGGAATGGATGATGTAGAATTTTAATATTTGTATTTTTTTTATTTTAAAATTTAAATGTTTCTTTTGTCTTGCTGTGAGCCGCCCAGAGTCCCAAGGGAGTGGGCGGCATACAAATTTTATTAAACTCAATTTTATTAAACTATAAACTGCCTTTTTGTATTTATCCAAGGAACAGAATTTGAACCAATTCACATATAAATTGCCACAATGATGAGTGGGAGTAAAGCTGTTTACTTTGCAGGGGGTTGCCTGCCACCCCACAGAGGGAGCTCTCTTGCTCCCTGGAGGCTCCCCTGAAGTGATAGATCTGCTTTGTTATGCCCTGCTGGCGGACGCCAAGAAATCATCAAACCACCTGGAGCAGCTGAATAATGGCTAGGGTGGTCAGGTGAGCGGTGGCGCAGCAAGGGGAGCAGACAAAAAACCTGGCCACCTGACCCGTGGAATTTCAGATCCTGCAGAGCCTGACTGGCAAGCCTACAGCTGTGACATTGGCAAGCACCAAAATACTGGTAAATATCTAAGCCGTCTGAAACAGCTGGGTGGCTGCAGCCAAGACAACAATCAGCTGGGCTGCAACAGACCAGGAGGTGGCAGAGCAGAAAAACGGAGCAGTTCGAGGCCCAAAACCAACCTGGAACCCTGCTGACAAACCAGCCAGCAAGAGACCAGGCAGAACTTCAGTTGCCAGCAGCAGTCAAGTAGTGGCAGCAGCTAGGTGAGTGCCGTGGACCAGGAAAGTGGGTGGGCAGCTCAAGACTTAAGACTAGCCCATGAACTAACTAAGCTACCGAAGAAGCAACTGGCACCAATAAAGGAGAATATTTGTAGCTCAGGTTTGAACTGAGGGGTCCTTGGTGCTCTTTGAGCTTGGCTGTTTTCTTTTCATTACCCAAACTAGGGAACATCAGCAGTGCTAGTAAGGAATGGGGTTTGCTCTCAGTTTATATTCTAGTGGCTTGCACTGTCAGTGTTGGTCAGGGTGGTCTTAGAGGTTCTTTGGTTGGGCTGCTTACTGATGGCTTGTTTGGCAGTTCCTTGACTGGGGTATTGATTACTTTTTGACTGTTGGTCTGATCTTGGAGTTATAATCTATGCTCATCTGGGTGCTGATTGATGGGGAGGTGTTTTGGTCTTTTTGTTCCCTTTTTGGCTTTTTGATTCTCTCTTTCGCATAGTATATATTGTTTACGCCTGTGTCTATTGATAGCTATTTTGTCAGCGTGCCAAGTTTCTAGAAATTCCTTAGCATTTTTGGACTTGGCTTGGTCTAGAATGGTCACACTTTCCCAGTTGAAACTATGGTAAAGTCTGTCCATATATTGTGAAATTAAAGAGTTTTCATCATGACTTCTGACTGCTAGTTGGTGTTCATGGATGCATTTTGCTAGTCTTCTGCCTGTTGGTCCTATGTAGTGGCTGTTGCAGTCATTACACTGCTTTTTCTTCTGGAATTGCTGGGTCTTTTGGTTTGCTTAGGATGTTTTGAAGGACTTTAGTAGGCATCAAAATGCCAAGATGTACATCAAGAACATCTCAGGAACCACCAACAGACTACTACAACCACATGGAATCAGCATAGCACACAAGACAACTAAAGCCCTTCAAAACATCACTCCATGAAGGGTGGGTGGAGATTCATTGGTATATGATACAGCTCCTCTCATTTGGACAAAGCTTAGGAGAAAACATCTAATCATTGCAGGCATCCTTTCCCCAAAAGCAGAATTTTAAGATCCAAAATGAAGAATTCTAAAACATCTAGATATACCTTGTGAACTCTGGCTGAGCCTAGCAGAAGATCGTGTCACACGGGCAGACCGGCCTGATGCACCATCACTTTCTGAACTGTATGTATGTTCTGGGTCTGTAGAGAAATCTGAGTCTTCTGTTCCATCTGAACTGCTTCCTGCATTTCTCTGAAAGGCCAACAACACATAAGGCAAATTCTTTAATGCAGATCTGCTCAACTTTTTGTGTGTGTGTGTGTGTGTTTTTGAGTCAGCTTTTGACTTCTGGTGACTGGGGTCATGGTGGCTCACGTGGTAAGACACTGGACCTGCGCACTGCTGAGGTCAGCGTCCTGCGGGTAAAGATAACACTGCACACAAAAAAAAATCCTTTCACAGAGGCAGCCAGTCACCTTGGTGATCCCTGGCTAACACGTGCCATACGCTAAATAAATCCTGGTAACTGCCTGGACCAGTCCCTGCAGTATTCTTGGCAAGATTTTTGGGAAGTGGTTTGCCATTGGCTACTTCCTAGGGTTGAGAGAGAGAAACTGGCTCAAGGTCACCCAGCTGGTTTTGTGCCTAAAGTTGGAGTAGAAGGCCCAGTCTCCTTGTTTGGAGCTTGGTGCCTTAAACACTACACCAAAGCAGGTCTCGTCTCAAAAATTAGGATATACTATATTTAATACATGTCAGAGGCGTGCAGTCAGGGGAGGCAGGGGAGGCAGGGCCTCACCACTGTCATCATGAAAAGAAAAAAAAATTAAAAGGAAAAAGGCAGAGGTAGTTGCTGCCAGATTCACAGTGGATGACTCTGCTTAGTGCTTAACTGCAGGGGGAGGCGAGAGAACCACGTGCCTCCTTTAGACTATCTTTATGATCACTTGAGCAGAGTTAAGCAAGGGTTAAAAGGCGAAAAATTCCTTATGCAAAGGAGGCACATGGTTCTCTTGCCTCCTCCTGCTCTGGCAGCAGCAGCTCTTGCCTTTTTCTTTTTACATTTTTTACATTTTCATCATGGTGGACAAGAGGAGAGTTGAAATCCTCTGTGACACGGCTGGAAAAGGTATGTGGGTCGGACGGAGGGAGGAGGGAGGAAGTCAAAATTATTGTAATTTAATTTGTAAGTAATTTTTTATTGTTCGTAAAAAACGTTGCTTCTCGCCGCTGCCGCGCTCTGCCACCTCGCCCCCCGCCTCCTCCATCCCCGCCGCTGTCCCCGACAGGCGTCTCACGTCTATGGCGGACATAAATGCGAGACACCTGTCGGGGACAGCGGCAGGGACGTTGCTTCTCGCCGCCACCGCACTCTTGCCTCACCAACCGTAATCCCCACCACACGTCACTGATATATGTTATAAATTTAAAATAATGCTCGCGTGCCTAACAGACATTTAGTTCTGGCTAAAGCCTAGGTGAATTTCAGAGTTCTCTGTCATCTTTGTATCCAACCTTTGTATGCCGTTTCATTTAATTTTGAAGATTGCAACAATATACCATAAAGGAACCCCTAAGTCAATTTGCCATGGATATTATATTTTTTTCTTTAAATGACCCTGTAATCCCTTGCATCGGGGTGGAGTCATGGCGACTGAATGGAGCTGAGCATTAACTGGCAGGATGCCTTTCCTGATGCCTATGCAGAGTTCATACCAGATATTTTCTCATTGTGCCCAGAGAAACATCTGCCGCTACCTAGGATTGAATTTACAGCTTCCTGATTGTGAGGCGAGAGCTCTACCTCTAGGTCACCATGGATATTATATATGAAACCTACCAGTAGTTCCCTATAATTTAGACTGGCAGATCACATGAACCATCTTATTAAGGGATATACCAATGTTCTTTTTAAAAAAAGATTCTATATCTTTTTTTTTCAAAGAATTGTTTATTTTTTTATTCTCTTACATACCCTTTTAAGTATACATTCACATAATTGTTATTCTTCTTTACATTTATCATTCTTATACATTTATTATTTCATTTAATAAGTTATAATTAAGCAACAGGACATGCTCTTCGGAGGGCTCTCTGAAGAACCGTCAGATTCCTGCTGTATCGGGGGAGGGGTTATTTTTTAACCCTACCATAGCTGTCCTGGGGGGACAGTGAAGAGGGGGGGGCAAGTAGATGTGGTTGGGGAACCTGCAACTGCCCTAAAACGCATGCATTTGCCTTTGGACCCAAAGCAGGAAAGGTAGCCAATGTGAGCTACCGCAGCTGGAAGGTCAGACAGAGCACGGGAATCAATGTGATGAACGTCTCGGTGAAATAATAAGAGTGCTTGAAAGTGCAACATTCCTATAAATTAACTTTTTAACCTCCGGTTAAAGCTTTTTAAAGAGAGTGGCAAAAGAAAGGGGGGGAGCGGACGTTACAAAACTCTCCCTCCCTTGGGCCAGCAGCAAATGGACGGAGCCGATAGATAGAAGAAAGGAAGTGATAGAGCTTGAGAACTGCTTAAGGATGTTAGAAAGCAAATCAGAAGCTCGCGGTCTTTAACTTTCACTCTATGCCTTTGATTTTCTTGGCAACCTTCGAGAATCGCTGAGATTTGCTTTTGAAGCCAGGAACTTAAAAGAAAATATGTTGAATTAATTGTCTGCATTGCTGTCTAGTAGTAAATGGTGCCTAGCAAAAGCTGCCTAAGAAGAGTTGACCTTGCACCATTGTGGATAACAACGAACTGATAAAAGTCCCCTAGAAGGAAGAAATAAGACCAGCTGTGTAAACACTGTCTTGCCTTCCCTGGCTACATTATAATGGGCTGCTGAGAATGACTTCCTGATAGTTTGTCTTTCCCCCTTTTTCCTAGGCGGGGGGGGGGGGATTTGGATAACCCAGACAACTCATACAAAAGGTTCCTTTTTTCCCCTGTTCATTTGGTTACTTTGGGTCATTTTTTACATACTCAATTTTTATCTTTTTCCTTCTTTTTTTATCTCCTTTTTTACCGCTTGCAATGAGGTGTGGATTACCATTGTGGAAATAATTTTGTGGTCCCCCCCCACTTTTTTTTCTCTCTCCTTGGTGGGGGGGAGTGCTTTTTGACCAATTTTCTTTTATGCGTTTATTTATTTTTTTTCTCCTTATTTCCTATTTTTTTCTCCTTTTTTTTTACTTCGCATGGACATTATAAAGCGAATTAAGGTAGCAAGAACCTGAAGACGGAGCCCAAGAATAGGGGTCGGTTTATTGGAGGCCGGTGCTTGGGCCGGTTTGAGCGACTCCAGGATTACAATTAATCTACTAATCTATTCTTTGAATTACAAAAGTTGATTACAACTTAAATACAATAATGTCAGAACCAAATACCAAAATGAAGACAATAACATCATATGCTTCTGCAACAGCCACCCTGCTCAGTTCAACGACACAGAAAGGAGCAGGCACAGGAACACAACAAGACAAAGCTATTTTGGAGCTAAAAAGTATGCTGCAAGACACGCATGTGGATATCAAGGAGCATATAAACAGAGTAGAAGAGAAAGTGGTCAAAGTGGAAGACGAACTGAAAGAAGTCAAGGAAATAATGGGGAAAAACGAGTAGAGACTGCAGAAGGTGGAAGAAAAGACAGAGATAACAGAGAAAAAATTGGAGGAGATGGATTATAGGCTGACAGCAATTGATAAAAAGCAAGATGGAGCCAGTGTTTTGTGGGAGATGGAAAGATCCAAATTCTATCTAAGACTCCAGAACATAAAAGAGGAGAAAGGAGACAACATAGCAGGGAAGATCACAGAAATTCTCTCAGCAGCTACAGAAATGAGTAAGAAATATATCCTAGGCGGAATGGATGAGACTTTCAGAATATATACAAGATATGCAATGAGAAACATCTTGCCCAGAGAGGTAGGTGTAAGATTTGTCAAAAAAAACCTCTAAAAAATGAAATATTGCAAGCAGCAAGAAGTACCACAATAAAATACAAGTCTAGAGAGATAGTGGTATTGAAGCAAGTCCCAAGGAAGATCAGAGAAATAAGAAAGGAATACCACTTTCTGACTAAGAGTCTGATCAAAAAAGGGGTGAGTTTTAGATGGCTTGTCCCAGAAGGGATTTTGGTAAACTGGCACGAACAAAGGAACAGACTATATACACTAGAGAAAGCAGAATTATTTTATGAACAACATATAGCAACACAGGAGGGAATGCTGGTAAGAGAAGAGGAAGGAGATAAACACCAGGAAGCTAAGGGGAAAGATCAAAGGGAGATAGAGAAAGAACAGGAAGAGAAAGTGCTAAGAGAAGGAGCAAGGGCCAAAGAGACAAAGGAGCAGAGGGAGCTAAGAATGACTAGATCAACTAAACCTATAAACCAATGACATGATGGATTAAACTCGGCAAGAAAAAGAAGAATATTCAACAAATTAGAGAAATTGAAATTGGACATTATATGTTTACAGGCAGTACATATTAGAAAGCAACACAGAAAATTTTTGGAACAGGCAAAACTAGGTAATTTATATACAACTCTGGCTGACCAAAGCAAAAAGGGAATAACATTATATATTAGAAAGACAATACAATCAAATAAATTTTTTGAAGATGGAGAGGGGAAAATACTGATGGTGGAAATAATGATGAACATGAGAAAGATATTATTAGTGGCAATACATACCCCAAACGACAAACAAGAAGAATTCTTTGGGAAACTACACAAAAAGATAATAGAATATGACTATGAAGATATATGTATATTAGGAGACTTTAATGCAATCGTAAATAATGGAATAGATTATAAATCCACAAAGATGAACAAGAAGCCAAGAAAAATCCTTCCCAAAACATTTTTCATGATGGTGGAAGAATTAAATTTGCAAGATGTTTGGAGAATAAGACACCCGAAAGAAAGACAATATACATTCTACTCAGACACTTGTCATGGTGAAGAATTGATATGATGTGGATGTCAACAGAGCTAACACTCAAAACAATTAAGATAGACATAGATATAAGCACATGGGCAGATCATAATCCAATAACAATAACTTGGAAGGGACAGAGGAAAAAGGGGGGATGGACTTTAAATTAAAGAATATTAAAAGAAAAAGGTTTCCAGCAATATATGGAAAAAGAATTGACATATTTCTTCCAGGAAAATAGAAAAGAAGACACGTCATTACAGAACGTAAGGGACATTTGTAAAGCATATATCAGAGGCCTTCCAATGACATACTTGGGGAAC